GGACTCGAATCAGTCCACAAGAGCAGAGTGGGCCAAGGAGACTGCCCAAGCAGCACCCATCGCGGGGGCGACCGAGCCCACTCCCGCGGCATCCGCAGGCGGGGCTGGTAGCTCCACCCCCGCGCCCCTTGCAAAGGCGTGGGGCTCCTCGGGCAAGACCCCCTCCAGCGCGAAGTACTCCGCTGGCCCGTCCGACCACCTCAACCTGCAGAACCAGTCTGGCACGTCCCCCTGGAAACTGCCCAGCACTCGGTCCTTCAAGATGTCGTTCGTCAGCTCAAACCCGGACAAGGCGGAAGGCGACCCCAGTGGAGTCCACGGTGGCCGCCGAAAAAGCAGGTTCACCTTCCGAACGTCCCAGATGAGGCGGGACTTGATCACGCCCCGCCCGTTCTGGCTCACATCCTTGGCCACGCAGAAGAGGCCCAGGGTGTGCTTCACCTCCTTGACGCACTGGGCCACTCCTGCCCGCGTCGCCCCCATGGCCACGGTGAGCCTGGCATGGCGATCCTTCCAACCTGGATCGGGGTAGCTCTTGATGCCGTCGTATCTCTCCCAGTCCACCTCCTTCGGGCCCTCCAGCATCCGACTCTCGAAACGCTCTAGGTACGGCGCCGCGGTAGTCGAGAGGTCCGTCAGAGGCAGGCCCACGGCCCCTGGAGGCAGCAGCGAAACCTGGTCCGCCACCTTCCTGCAGAGGTCGCCCTGCTTGACAAAAGTGATAGAAGATGTGGCCCGCTTGTGGCCGCATCCTCCGCCCACTGCGTCGCCCGAGCTGTCGGGCCCCCGCAGACGGCGAAGCGCCGCCTTGCCGTCGCTGATGCTCCCCCACGCCCCGAAAGCGGCGTGGCGATCCCAGATGTCGTAGACCACCATGCGCTTGGGCCCAGTCGCGCCCCCCCACGAGCTCGGGACAGTCGACCCATCGTCTGCTCCAACGCGCCCAGCTGCCAGAGACCGTAGAGACCGAACCGTCCGACAAGTAAGCAGCCAGGTTAGCCTCAGCTGCTCCGTCCTGAAGCCCGAACTCGAAGCCCTCGTAGCCAGGGGTCCCGTAGGAGAAGTCAAACTCCGAAGTGGGTGCCGCTCCCTGAAATCCATCATCATCTGGTCGCCGTAAGGGGAACGCCTGCTCACGTGGGGCGCGACGAAAGTTGGGCGCACTGGCGTGGTTCAGGTCCGCGATATACAAGACACAGCCCGAACGCAAGACGCCCCGCCCCCCAGCGCCCACCGGGTAGGCGAAGCTCAGCGCGGCGAGCCCGAGGCAGCCGCCCCCCTGCTCCACCCTCGCCTCGACCTGACGATCTCCCCGCTGACGAAACCCACGCAGCGCAGATCCACAGGAGTGAGCACAGCAGTGCGAGACTTGCCCAAGGGTCGCCACTCCAAAACGAACCCTCGGGCCACCCCTATTCGTCATCCTTGGGCGCCGCGTCCCGCACCAGCGTCAAGTGCTTCTGGATCTGCGCCCTCTTCCGCAACTTGTCCGTCACCTCGTCGTCCGCGAGAGTGTCCTCGATGGTGTCCTGCGAAGTCAGCCTCAAGTACTCCTCGCCCAGCGACCAGTCGACCTTGGACTTCCACTTCGCCCCGCTCGCACTGCGGGGCCTCTTCCAATCGTGCTCGCACGTCGCGCCCTCGTAGGCCTTCATGATCGCGTACATCCTGAGGCAACTCAGCTCGCTGGCTTGAGAGTTGAGCAGCCCTTTGAAATCTCCCGAGACCATCACGCGGTCCAACGTCATGGCCAGCACCAGCATCTCGTTGGCGATGGGGGCCTTGGAGAGCTCCTTACTCCTCAGCCATTCTTGCACCTCGAGCTTCGCAGAGCGGCCCCCCCTGTAGACCTTGCTCAGTACTGTCGGTGCCACCCGGCCCTTGGTGCCCCCCACCCGCGCGTTGGGGATGTGCTCGTAACTATTCAAGGTCTACTGGAGGGCGTCCCTGGGATTCTTGCTCTCCATCTCTAGCTGGGCGATCGTGCCCGAAACCGAGCCTGAACCTGGAGACGATGGCAGCCGCTCCCACTCCGAATCAGAGGCAGACCTTCCAGCTTCACGTCCGCTGCCTCTCGTACCTCGGTCGGAGTCGCTCTTCACCAACTCCTCGTGCTCGTTCAACTTAGCGATGAACTGGTCCAGCTGCGCCGTCGTCGGCATGGCGTCGTCGGCGGACCCGACGGACCCACCCGTTGTCTTGCTCGGAGGTTCCGCCCTGTCC